AAGAAAAATAATTCAAGCCTAAGAGATGATAGCTGTGATTGAAGCTCGGAAATTCCTCGCCGAACCGTTGCTGCCGCTCCCAAGCTTTCTATTTTCTCTCTTTTTTCTGTTCTGTTCTCTTGTGTCGTCTTTCGCCCAAAATATATATCCAAGCCTTAATCCCGTTCTTTTCTTTCTTATCTGCTGCGCAAAAAAAAACCCTCAAAAGAAAATAATAAAATAATATAAAGCTATCCTAATGACATAACTTAATTAAACTTAAATTATTAAAACACTTATTTAAAAATTGAAGATATAAAACTACTAAGTAAATTTAATACTATAGATAAATAAAACTCTTATTAATATATTAATAAAAATGCAACATTAACCTAATATTTATTAAAACCCATCTAAACTAGTCTAAACTAGTAACATATAACTAAATATAATATTTATAATAACATCAACCATAAAACTTAATTTATTTATGCAAAACACTAACTAAAATTACTCTAAATAATGCCTAGAAATTAAGCTTATCAATATCAAGATTCGGTAGGAATATCATATAAACATCAAGACCATCATATAATCATCAAGAACATCAAGAACCTCATATAATCATCAAGAAACTATTATCATCAAGATCACCCATGGAATCATAACACCAATTATCAAGACCATTATAACGAATCATCAACACACAAGAATATGGGGGAAATCCTAAGAGGGGAATCATAGCTATGAAAATAGGTTTTGTTGAGACATGGGTTACCTCTTAGCCTTAATTAATTCCTTGGCTATGAAGGGTCTTTCTTTAAGCTTTCTTCTTTCTTGATTTCTCCTAAGGGAATTCTTGAAGCTCCTTGGGTGGTGAGAGATTATTGTGGTGGGGGTTCTAGGTACCTCTTATGTCCCCTATTTATACACCTAGGAGTCCTAATTAGGGTCTAGTATTATAGGCTTGCTAATTCTATTCCTTCTAGGGCTAGGGGTTGGGTTTTAGGGGTGAGGGCCCACGGACTATGGTGGGCCTTTTCTAAATTAATTATTGTAATTTAGTTCTTTCTTCGGATATTTGATTAAATGATTAATTGGTTTTAGGGGTCGTAACACGGGGTGTTACACTCTCCCCCCCTTACAAGGGGCTTCGTCCCCGAAGCCCGGTGTGTTAGTCCATTCTTTCACCCCTGGACATCCCGCATTTTGGCCTCCTAGTTAGGAATGTAGCCCCACATTTTATCTTAGCTGGGGTAGACTGGACTTCTGGTGGTGTGGTGATAGGAATGTTTGGGTCTACCAAGGTCTTCTGCTCCGGAGTTGGATGCCCCGCGAGTGCCCAAAGAGGCCTCGATTGCTGCCACCCTCTGATCTAATGTGCGTGTCGTACGGATCAAGGACGAGAACCCTTCCTCCATGATTTGGTTTTGCCGGTTGAGTGGCGCTAGGATGCGCTCATTGACCGAACCCTCGTTTTGTTACCTTGGGTTCCCTCTCGCTCGTGGGTGCACCGATGGGTTAGGCTTGTCATCCTCCTCCTGATCCTCATCTCCCTCCAGAACCCCCACAATCTTGCATTGCTCGTTTGAGCTTTTTGTTGGAGATGTCCAATTGGTCGACCAATTCTCTTCATTCTTCTTCGGGTTTAAGGCAAATTTCTTCGAGGGTGAGGTAGTGTCCCCCTTCAGTGTAGTAGATATCGTTGCGGCGGAGGTTCTAGGCGTTAAAGATCATGCCATTTGCGGTTTTAACCTCGGTGTGGCTTAGGTCCACCCCCTTCTTCTCCATGATCCAACTTAGGATCATCCCATAGGGTAGGCTAAGTCAATTGCTTATTTTGCAAAACTCCATGTGCTTTAGCATGAGGGCCGGCAGGTTGAACTTGATTTTGTGTTTTAAGAGATAGGCAAAGGTGCACTCTAAACTCCCCACGTCTTTGCTCTTATTGTTCGTGGGCAAGAGGCTATCAGTTACAATCATAACCAATATCTTTTGCTCCGCCGTTAGCCACTTCCTATTCGGTCGTGTGGCCGAGGTGAATCCTTCCTCTTTCCCGAGTAGGTACCCGAGATAGTCCTTGTACCCCGTGTTTTGGGTATCAATCCACCCTTTTCGGTCGTAGTTTGACACACCCGTGGTGGTCAATTTCAGGAGTTTGGCCAAGCGGCCTTCGGAGAGTATAATTTCCTTGCCGCGGACCTTGGTGGTGATTTCTAGCTTATCACCCCGTTTGGTGGCCACTAGGTGTTGATAGAACTCTTTCACCAATTCGGGGTACGTATCCCCCTTGATGGTAAGGTATGTATTGAAAAGGCCTTGATAATTAAGCATATCGATCAATTCCGGAGAAAATTGGTCGGGTTCGAGGGCTTTACCTTCTATTACGGTGTAGCCGGCGTTGCTCCATTCCGGGGTACGGGTTCCGAGGGGTTTCTTCGGCATTTTGGGGTAGATGACACTTTTCCAATGACTTTTCCGGCGGGTCTCTAGCGCGTTTTCGGGCGAGTTTTTCGGCGGGCAGTTTTCTCTGCTTGCGAAGGAGGTGACGGCGAGCTGTGTTCCGGCGTCGGCTCGGTGAGGGGAGGCGACGGCGTGCTGGTCTCGGGGCTTTCTTCGGCAGCAGTGGCGGCGTGTGGTGGCGACTGGCTTGCGCCGTCGACGTCGCATGGCAGCGGGTTGCTGCCAGGTGCGGCGTGGGCGGTCGGCGGTCATTTGCCAGCTGTGGTGGTGGCGTGTGGATGGGGCGTCGCTGGTGGGTTGCGGTGGCGGGCGAGCGTCGACCGAGGGAGGTGGGTGGTGGTGCGACGGGGTTTGTGAGGGTGGCAGCTTTGGAGGGGAGGGAGGAAGAGGAGGTTGGGTGATTTGGGGAAGAAGGAGAAGGGTTTTTTATTTGGGGATTTTGTGGGTTTTAGGGTTTGATGGGGGCTTTAAGAAGATAGTGATCCCTTAAGGTTTCAAGAAACACCCTTAGCTTAGTGGTTGAGACCTTGATCATGTATGTGGGAGGTTAAGGGTTCAATGCTCATTGATAACACTAGGCTTTTGATGGTGTGGTCCTTGTCTTTTTCCCTATTTTGTCTTCTAGTGGTGGGAGGCTTGGCTTGTAATATAATTTTAGTTTTATCTTCGTAAGTAGGATCGGATTTCGATCTAATCTTTTATTTATAAAAATTCTGAAGTAATTGAGCTAAGTAAGTAGTTTTACTACGAAGGTGATTACAAGGAATTTGCCGGTTTATCCTAGATAGAATTCATCTTCTTGGTTTTCTTCCGCGGGGTTTGCGCGGTCCCCGTCTTCTGGGGTTAGGTTCCCCTCCTTGAGATTGCTCTCGTTCCCGAGGTCGGCCTGGGTGCGGCTCATGACGAATATTTTCCCAGGAGCGCCGTAGTTTCCTTGGTGGGTGGTGCCCCCGTGTTGACCCATGGTGGTGGGGCGTGGCCTTTGGGGTTGAGTGCACTGGAAGGCCTTGTGCCCCTCTTCACCGCAGTTGAAGCATCGCCAGGGATTGCCCATGCAGTCTTTACCTCTATGGCTTTTGTTGCATTTCGGGCAAGGGAAGCTCCTTGTGTTAGCTTCGTTGTTCCCTAGGGGCGGCCTTTGGTTGGTCAGATTGCTCGGTCTTGTGTTGGTGTTGTTTCTCGTCCTTTTCACCGGTGGTGCTCCACCTCCAGTGTTTCCCTTTCGTATCTGTTCCTGAACCCCACGTTGGCACGTTGCAGTAGTTGGATTCGATAGAGATTTGCGGCACTGGAGTAAGCCTCGTTGAGGGTCCGAGGTCTACTTACTACTAGTGCTTTTCGGGCTTCGAAGTTGAGGCCTGATACGAATCTCCCTATTTTGGTCACCTCGGTGGGGACTAGTTCTGGCGCGAAGCGTGCTAGTTCGAGAAATCGTTTATGGTATTCCATGACGGTAACTGTCCCTTGTTTCAAATGGAGGAACTCTTCGTACATGGATGCTTTTACGTGTGTTTGGTAGAATCGTTCTCGTAGTCGCGTTTTGAGGTTTTCCCATTCGAACCCTGGTTCTTGTTGGTAAGCGGGCCCCTCGTGGATCTACCAGAGATCGGCCTCGTGTCCGAAGTAGAACGAGGCAATCTCTACGCGACGTTCTTCGGGGCATTCTACTAACCCTAGAATTTTGTCAAGGGTCCGGATCCATTCCTCCAGGATTACGGGATCCTCTTCTCCTGAGAACGTGGGTGGTCGATGGTTTGAAACTTGTCCGGCGACGTCTGAGTTCGCGTTTGATGGAGGGGGCGGGGGCCTGTTGTTGCGAAGAGCTACGTCGCTTAGTGCCTGGGCGACTCGTGTTAGTTGTTGTAGGGTTTGAGTCAGGGGGTCGTTTGTGGCGGGTTCTGGAGTCCTTGATTGTCTTCTGTTTTGTGCCATGCTGTCGTCTTTCTGGGTCAACGTTTATAAGAACGTTAAGTTAGAGTTCGGTGCTCTTCTTTTGCTGTGATAAGCAGGGGAAAGTTTTCTTTAGATAAGGGGGAGATAAACACTACAAGAAAGTTGTTCATTAGTGAGAGGTAAAACCGTCACTAAAAAATCAAAAACCATCATAAAAGACTTTTAATGACGGAAAATTTACAGTCGCCACCCGTCATTATTTCTTCCGAGGTTAAAACAAATAGTGACGGGATATGATACCATCATTAGTAAGCATATAGTGATAGTATATTTACTGTCACTAAAACATTCTTTTTGTGACAAAAAATCCTGTCACTAATACAACTGCTCACTACCATAATTTCCTCTCATTATATTCTTGTAATGATGGAAAATACCGTCACTAAAGATTATAATTTAGTGTCAAATATTATTTTTATAATTATATATATATTATTACTTCTTATTAAATATTAATTTTTATAAATTATAATACATTTTTTCCTCACTAATCGATATTATGTTATGTTGTAACTATAAATATTGTGTTGATAAAAATTAAAATTTTTACCATAATGCAATCAAAGTAAACTCAATCAGTATATTAAAAAACTTCATCATCATTACTAAAATGAAATGTTTCATACAATTTGTAAAGACTAAAGACTCACAATTCAACCAACCCAACAAGATGGAATTGGAGAAATAGTTCTCTAAATGCACCACATTCTTGGCTATGCATTATAGATGCTAAATAATCACATCTTCACAAAGCTTCAGAGGAAGGATAGCAAATACACCGTCTGTCAAAGTATGGTGAGTACTTCAAGTCTTTTTTTTTTTTGCGGAAAAACTCCTTCCACTTCGTCATATATATGGACAAGAGAGACAATGATAGAGACTATTTCACTGCACACAAGATCAAAGTAGCTAGTTTTAGCACTTGCCAATCAAAAAGGTCCTACCGTACTGCTGAAATTGTTTAAATATATTAAATCTCACATAAGAAAACTTGATTTGTTAAATTAACCTCTGCATCTATGAACATGCAAGTTTTTTTTTTTTTTTCTGAAATCCAGAACTAGCATGTTCTTTCTAATCTTTCCTTACCAGTAAATGAATATGGCCAAAGCAGTTATCATTTTAACTATTATTTACTTATACTGATTTATGTGGTCTTCATGCATTCCATAAAATTCATGCACTGTATTAATTAATATAAATAGACAAGTTACCGTTATAATTCTGTTCACTTTCATATCATTTGAAAAAAACCAATGGATTGGTGGCATTAAAAGTTACAAGCAACATCATTATACAGATCAATACAAGAAATAGTAAACAAGAAAATAAGTTAAGAAAATACTTGAATGTTTTTTAGTTGTCCTCACTGAATGCCGAATTGAAGTTATATCAACGAATTCTTTGACATTACTTTGATCTTCTGTAGAATCATCTTCTTGTTCATGTTTAGGAGATTCTTGTTTAGCTGATAAATACTTAACAAAACCCACGTTCGTTTTCCTAAACTTCATCCTACCGTCTATTTGAGCCATCTAAGATTGATGCAACAGTTCAGTTTTGAGGAAGCATAATATGAAGATATAACAGAGTAACAAATAAAACACTTTCAATTCTGAACAAATATTAGAAAAGATATCCCAAATTTTACAGGAATGTGTTGCTTCCATGCAATGTTAAGGGCAGTTTTTAGAAAATGCATAAGATAGTTTTGTCTAAAAATGATCAAGATAAGGTGAAAGCTAAATGAAGCAAAAGCAAAAGACAAGAAGCATACCAGTTCTTTGTTTCACATAAATGCAGACAGCTTTTGGGAAAAGAACTTTTTGGACTAAGTATCAAAGATCTGACAAATCTGGAGAATCAATTTGAAGTGAGCCTGAGAGGTATTCGAACGAGAAAGGTAAAGTACTTGTCTACTTGGCAGATATCTAATTTCACCAATTTATGAGATCAAGGAACTAAACCGAAAGGTGTTGTTGGATAGATACCGGAATGATCCATTCTACATTGTACTTATGCTTATGCTGAATATAAGACTCTTGTCCAATGCAGGGAAGTCTTGTTCATCAATAAAACATGGAACTCTGTAAGAACCTAAATCTCATTTGTCAAGAGAATACAGAATTGCAGAACAAGGTAATTGCTGGAAAGTATTGTCATAATTGAGCATTGATACTGTAGGCTAGAATTGCACTAGCCAGCACTGTGGCAGCTATCAGTTTGCATCAACAAGATGCACAACAAGGTGATGCTTTTGGGAATTATGCTTCTAACTTGGATAAAAGACTGAAGTTAGCCCAGTATGATAGCCATCAGATTCAGCTTTGCTAGTACACGAAGTCAGTATTATCACAGATATTTCTGTAGACCTGTATACTATCAGGAGGAGCAGTATCAGTAAATTTAGGACTAATGAATTGTAGACAAGGACACTCTGCAAGATCTATTGCAGGCTTGTAACAATCACATCAACTTAGCAAGGAGCCGAAGAGAGAGATTGTCCACAACTAAAGCACAATAGTGCCATCAAAGGACTAAGACAGTTAGTTCATAAGAATCTAGTAAGACTGCAAGCTCACCAACTTAGGGAGAGAAACAGTCCAAAACTAAAAATACGTAGATGCAGTCATATGACTAATGAGAATCTATGGAATATTTCACAGTGGAACAAAACACAAAGAGGAAATACTCTGAAACAAAGTCTCTAATTCAAACAATTAAAATACAAATTCTATACACAAGTTATGAGCTTTCATTGAAAAAAAAATAAATTTGCATTTGGCATTTCAAACACCACAAGACATCGAGTGCATTTAATAATTGATTAAATGCATTCAGAAATCCTAACAATGTTGCAAATTTCACATAGAATAAAGGACACATGTACAAGGGTTTGAAGATGGAAATATTATACACTAGAAATTAAAACCAGGTTCAACATCATTTACCTGCCTTCAAGAGAATGAATGAGGTTAGAAAATTCCCCAAAGTTGAATAGTTCAATGCAATGCAGGTGTTCTCAGGAAACTATAGAAATAGTTACACCGGCAAAACCTGCCATACCCACACAGCAAGCACGCCAATGAACACCAGTGACAAAGCAAACTAATACAACCAAACAGATTAGTTATCTAAGAGCACAACCCTAACATTATAAACAACACAAATAAAGCATAATGACATTTAAATACTCAATTTGGTAAAGATACATTAAAAATAAGAGGTCAGTGCACAAGCTTAGGAAATGTACCTGAACCAAAATCTACAGTTAAACAGCCTCAACCTCAAAATCTAGTGCTTGAACCAATGGAAGTTCACTCTGTGGATAAGAAACAAAAAACAAAAACAAAAACAAAACAAAACAGACAAAATGAGAGAATGTCAGAAATTCTAAAAACTAGATCAACAACCAATAAACTTATATGTACACAAACTAGCAGTGGCCTGCAGGAATGGCGTACCTATGGAGGTTGCTACTGATTTCCTGACCCAGAGAAACCCTTCCGGGCGGTCGCTGACCTTCGGTAGAAATTAACCTACGGAAGATGCGATTTCCTCCATCCCCAGCGTAACTATGGAGGTTGCTGCTGACTTCCTGACCCAGAGAAACCCTTCCCGGTGGTCGCTGACCTTCAGTAGCCCTTCAGTAGAAATTAACCTGTTGGAGTTGCGATTTCCTCCCTTCCCAACGTACCTATGGAGGTTGCTGCTGATTTCCTGACCTATGGAGGTCGCTACTGATTTCCTGACCTATGGAGGTTGCGGCGGACGGCAGTGGTGAAGGGCGGAAACCCTTTGCCGTGAAACACTAAAACCCTTCTGGAGTGAAAATAGAGATACCCTTTGCCGTGAAAAAAAATGAAGTGTTTAATCTTTATCTTTAATAATTTTTAATTTTAATTGATATACGAGGGAAAAAAACGCGGTTGTCTTCGGCGCCAAAATTTCGGCCAACAATTTTGTTTTAAAACAATTTATAAATCACACAAGTGAATTAAAAATCACTTCAATATTTTTTAGGCAAATGAAAACACATTTCAAGCAATAACTAAAATAAGCAATAAAATAGTTTAAATTTCAAATATAAACAAAAATAAACATTTTTTTAAGGGAAACAAAAATAAACATTAAAATAATTGAAATGTAAGATATAACTTAAACTTCACCCTCGTCATCTTCGGATTGCTCAATATCATCATGCTCTGACGGTGTCAGAAAAGTGGTCAGAAATCACTGATTCCCAGCAGTGGCCTAAGCGGCGACATGCGAGAGGGCTGTGTGGAGAGAGGGCGGGTGGGTTACGACTCCTATCTCCTGTAGTCCTTTGAGAGATTAAGAGACCAAGCGAGGCAGAGAAGCAAGAGATGGTTGCGCAGTTGGCTGGCGGCAACTGCGATTATGATTTTAGGGTTCACGAATGAAGAGTTTTTTTTTTTTTTTTTTTTTTTTGGAAATTACGAAGAGTTTGAGAGAAGGCGCCCAAAAACAAAGTTTTGGTGGGAATTAGATTTTAGTGAAATTAGACATCAATAGTGAGAGTAACACCATCTTTCCTATCAATAGTGAGAGTATACCTTTAAAATAAATATAAAATTAAAATTTCTTCACTAAATCATAAACCTTTAGCTAGAGTAATTTTTAACCCTCACAAAAACTATGCAAATAATACATTTAGTGAGGGGTTTTTCTACCCGTCACTAATTTTTTGTCGTTAAAAGTTGTTTTTCTTGTAGTGAAAGTGTGGGGAGGTTATGTGTAGGTTTCACAGTCTCACCGCGCGTCCTAAGATTCCTGAGTCCTATGTCCCTAAGTACCTAGAGTTCAAGTCTTCGTCCTAAGGTCCGGTCTTGATAGTCTTATCCTAGGGTCAAACTTAGGCTCTAATACCAACTGTAACACCCCGAAATTTTTAAACTTTTGAAGCTTATATAATAAAGGTGAAATCTCATTAATTCCCAAAACATAATATAAAGAGTACAGGGTGCTATGCCACACCTGAGCTAGAGAACTCAGGTGCACAGGCTGACTAACTAATATCCTCAATAATGCAAATACATAATCATGGCACGCAGGCCGAAAGGGAAACTAACTACTTCTACGCTCCAAGGTTCTAGCGCGCTCCGGTGTCTACTCTCCTGTGCCTGAAAGCCAAATATATCTGTTCAGCGAGAGATGCTGGTAACCCACTCCAACGCGTTGAAATACAATACATATAGATATATATATATATATATATATATATATATATATATATATATATATATATATATATAGTTATACGAAAAACCATTTCGAAGCATGAAGATATATCCTAAGAGACTCTAGCTTTCAAACAGGGAATAGACTCGACAGATAAGGATAAACACAACCAACGGACATAACCAAGCACACACAATTCTCAACGTAGGGCACAGATATAGATAAGCACAATAATCATAACCAAGCATATATAGTTCACTAGCATGTGTCCTATGGTCACGCCTTCGTAACAATCATAACATCAAACCGTCCATATCTCATCACATAGCACACTTTGTTGGCGCCACAGGACCAATCCCATGCCCATACATGAGGGTCAGCACATATAGCTCTGACACGGCCCCGCAGCACCCTGCCCCGTATCGCAACACGGAGGGGTCGATCGCAACCGACCGAGGAACCGCAGCTCATCATAGTGTTTGATCGCAACCAAACAGTGGACCGCAGCCCAAGAGTATGTCATCTGACCGCAGCCAGGAAATATGAACCGCAGCTCATGTAGAAACGTTTGATCGCAACCAAACGGTGGACCGCAGCCCAAGAGTGTAAATCTTACCGCAGCCAGCTTCTGAACCGCAGCTCAGGAATAACCAATTCGATCGCAACCGAATTGGGGTATCATGCACACATAACACACAGCAAGCACATGCAGCCCACATTAGCACATTGGGAGGGGGGAGAAATCGTATAACGAAACCTATGCGTGATCTTCCACATACTAAGAGTGATACTAAGGGGTTCATACTTCTTACACCTAGGCCAGCGGGATACCAATTCAACTAGCATGCAATATATAAGACTTATACAACCTACGAACGGTACCCGAAATATCAAACTAGACACAGGGACGATAGACGAAGTCCGTTGGGACACCACGAGGATCAGGGGAACATCATATGGGGAAGCCAAAATCCCAAGGTAGGGTAAAATCCAGCGGGTAGCCGGTGGGTGAGGGATCACCCGCCGGCAGAAGCTTTCCGGGCAGCGGGTGGCTGGCGGGCAGCTGCCCGCTCGCCGGCTGCCCGCTGCCGGCGTTACCAACATTGGCCGCGGGTAGGTGGCGGGTCCCCTACCCCCACCTACCCCCCACTGACTCTTTCATCACAGAAAAATGCCCCGGGAACCATTGTGGAACCCGAGACCATGCTTAGACACTTTCAAACGCAATTGACAACAACACGTAGACAGTTAACGGATCCAAAAGCAAGAACATACGGCACATAACCTATCATGCTTTTCTAAACGTAATCAACACCCAAACATACGAATTCCCACCCAATATACCAAGAATAATACCATACGAATTCCACGATACAACCTAGGGTTCTAATTATTTTTAAATCAACAAGAACACAATTCATCTTTTAATATCAAGATTCGGTAGGATTATCATATAGACATGAAGAACATCATATAATCATCAAGAACATCAAGAACCCCATAATAACCTCTTATCATCAAGATCACCCATGGAATCATAACACCAATTATCAAGATCATTATAACGAATCATCAACACACAAGAATATGGGGGAAATCCTAAGAGGGGAATCATAGCTATGAAAATAGGTTTTGTTGAGACATGGGTTACCTCTTAGCCTTAATTAATTCCTTGGCTATGAAGGGTCTTTCTTTAAGCTTTCTTCTTTCTTGATTTCTCCTAAGGGAATTCTTGGAGCTCCTTGGGTGGTGAGAGATTATTGTGGTGGGGGTTCTAGGTACCTCTTATGTCCCCTATTTATACACCTAGGAGTCCTAATTAGGGTCTAGTATTATAGGCTTGCTAATTCTATTCCTTCTAGGGCTAGGGGTTGGGTTTTAGGGGTGAGGGCCCACGGACTATGGTGGGCCTTTTCTAAATTAATTATTGTAATTTAGTTCTTTCTTCGGATATTTGATTAAATGATTAATTGGTTTTAGGGGTCGTAACACGGGGTGTTACAATTGTCTCCCCAGAATATATTTACCCCATAAAAAGCAAGAAACTTCCTCCTAATTACTTATAATCTTTTCCTCAGAACCTAATTTCCGCTATTTGAATAATTGTTATATGATTTATGACCTTCCTGAATTTATATGACAAAAGTTTGGTTATACCACGATACTAAGTACGTGAATTTAATTTTTAATCATGCACTAGAATAACATGTGGAATAATACATGTGTGTGTTTTATGATTCCATAGGACTAGTTATTATGTAAAGACTTGAAATAAATCCACATACCTTCACACTCTATACCTATAGACTTAAGGAAATCGCATACTTAGCATAATTACAATTGAGCGCATATAGGCATGCCAACTTGCAGGTTTTTCATATAACATAAGCAGTTAATTATCGTACATGTTAGGCTTGTTATTTCGTAACTGTGAATATTTGGTATAATCTGCTAAGCACAAAGATTAGACATAGATCCTACATAAACGGCACCTAGGCTCACAACATGCTACACTACATGATTAAACGTCTGCATCCATTCGTAAATGAGGTTCGCCCGTGTTGATGTATGTGCATATACACTTTATAATGATTATGTGGCTATCCGAATCTGCACCCGCGTGGCGTTTACCTCTCATTTAGGTACATAAATAATTATATGATTGGTACAACTCGTGATCCTATATGATTGAATCATTATAAAATAATTAAATAAGGAACATGCCACATGTAAGACTTCTATGTTATATATCAGTCACCCGTAGGACTTACATATTGTGTGTTGCATATTCTTAACGTTGTCATTTGGTGCTTTTTGCTAGCACATTAGTTAGGCTCAAACCCAGTAAATTTATGTGAGTATGTGTATATATTTCCCATATAATACTTTTGTAACACCCCGTGTTACGGCTTTCAATCCCGGATTAATTATTTAATTAATCCCGTTAATAATAATTAAATATGATTTAATTCGGTTAGGTTTCCCTTTAATTAATTAATAAGGCCCACCATGAACCGTGGGCCCTTGCCTAAATTAGAGCCTTAAGCCTATTAGGAATAAAGAAAGTAAACCTTTTACTATTCAGATTCTGATTAGGAATCCTAGACCTAGTTATCTATTAGGAATAAAGGAAGTAGGTCTTTTACTATTCAGACTATGATTAGGATTCTCTTTAATTAATTAATATGGTCCACTATGGACCATGGAACCCAATCCTTAGTCCCAAAAGGAATAGAATTAGCAAGCCTATAATATTAGTTCCTAATTAGGACTCCTAAATATATATATAGGGGACTTAAGAGGCACCTAGAACCCCCCACACGCATAAACGCCCCACCTCCCCAGGAGAGCTCCAAGAATTCCCTTAGAAGAAAGCAAGAAAGCAAGAAAGCTTAAAGAAAGACCCTTCATAGCCAAGGAACTAATTAAGGCTAAGAGGTAACCCATGTCTCAACAAAACCTATTTTCAGAGCTATGATTTCCCCTTAGGGTTTCCCCCGTATGATTGTGAATGACGAATTACTATGATTATTATTGATGTTGATTTAATGATTCCATGGGGAATCTTGATAATCTTGATATTGGGAGTTTCTTGATAATTGTGATGTTCTTGATGATTAATTGGGATTCTTGATGATTATGTGTTGTTCTTG